AAAACAAATCATGATGTTTAAGTCAAAATAAAACCTAGACCTATCATTACATATACTAAATCAACAAAGTCAACAGAGTCAAATTCGAAAAATATTTAATAGTATGTTATTTAAAGGAAAACATAATGTGGTACAGCATTTTAATAAATAGAATTATAGCAGATAATATTTCTGTATTACGGCATTACGGCATTACGACTTTACGACTTTACGGCATTATGGCATTACGGCACATGGCAATTATAGCAAAAAATACGGCATGTGCCGTAACCGTATTAATTTGTAAAATTAATTCTACCACCAACTATATTCTGAAGTAAGCTACCCTTGTACTTAAATTCTCTGTCACCTTTTTTTTCAAAAAAAGAATCATTACAATCATCATCGTCTTTGTCAGCATTATCAGCAACCATTATAGGTTTTTCAAGAAAAGGTGCGTAATAATCAATAGACGCAAGGTTGATTATATAAGCGACAGATTTAAGTAACGTGGGATTAATTGAAGAGTTTGTAATGGCGTCTGACACATGCAATCATCCATAGTCTTCTCCAGTTACTCCTCTTTCAAGGAACCAAATTTGGTTGTATGTTGAAAGATACCATATCTATTATTGTAAATAAGTATAAAATTATCATGTACAATCTGTTAAAGTTTGAAGAAAAATTTACTTTGATTTGTTAGCACACATGTACCCATATATTTGGTTTATAGGATGATATACTGAAATATCATTAGAATAAGCATATTGTCTCTCTCAAAATTTATTTTCCTCATTATAGAGCATAACAATGTTTTGGTCTGGAAGCACATTCAAAACCCACTTTGTTTTAGATTCCCAGAGCTGAAATCCGGTTTGCCAACAATATTTTTCAAAGCACGGCCATCCAAAAAAGAAATAGGTTGATCTAGTGGTGTTAATGTATCGAAGATATTCACATCTGTTGCTGACCAGATATCTTTCTTGCAAGTGATTTTCGCGTTCTTGGTATTTTTTATCTGCTTCTGGTTGCCATGTTCGAACTTGTTCAAACTTCAACCAATTCGTGATCTCATCAGGAAAACGCTGTTCAGTAGATTCTAAAGCGTGGTTGACTGATGTTGTAATAGAAATAGCAGGATCTACTTCAGGTAGTCTTTCCTCTCTTTTATTCTTTTCAATAGTCTTGTGTTTCTTTTTTGGGTTAACTTTCTCAATAGCTTTCCTCTTAGTAGAAATGATATTATGGTTTTCCTTTCTATCCTTCTTTCCAGATTTCTGTAGTAGCAAAATGTATGAGTAAGATTCTTATATAGCCAATTCCTCTTCTAGAATCAGACCTTAACCTAATACAGTAGTAAGATATGCACATCAAGAAGCTCTATGTCTGGACGCTCTTCTTCCCTTTGTACGAAAGCATAGGGCGTAGCACACTAACTACTCTTGTTAATATTTTCACATTCTAAAGAACATGTAAAAATAAAACCTTCAGTCGACGCTTTCCTCCTTCTTTCGTCTCAGGCCCTAATAGCTCTACCAACACTTTCAATTCTTTACCTAAATCGCGATGTGACAACACTTTTGGCTTATCGGGATAATTTATGAAATAAAAATTGTCCATGTGTTTATCGTCCACTATATGTAGGGCCTTTCCCAGTAGCTGGAATGTCGAACTTCATTTAAAATTTCTTTTGACAACATTGTTATGCAAGAAGTTAACAGATGGCGAAAAAAATAATAAAAAGCAAGGCATAAAATCATAGTTTAAATTATAAAAAAAATACTTATATGCAGTATGGCTCGAACTGACATCTCGATGCAAAAAAAATTTAACACGCAAAAAAATTAAGTTATATTTAGCAAATGACTCAGCATTTCAGTCCATTATTGACACAAAAAACGAAAAACAAGTTGTATATGCGGATGCATATTTTAGGAGTACTCTAGCATATCAGAAGTTTGTTTTGATTGGCTGTTATTAGGATAAATATGATTGGTGACGATCTTTTTTTATATAGTCAATTGTAATTTTTTAAAGTACTTTTAATGTCGTGTCATAACTTTTTTTTCGTAATACAAAACGTAACAACCAACTTGAGTCGTT